GCTCTGGCCTGCTAAGAATCTTGGGCTACCCACCTCCCTCAAATGTGACCTGTGTGAGGGCAGATAGGTAGGGAGGGCCGCAGGGCCAGGCTTCTTCCGTTTTTTCTTTACCCCACCCTGGGTTCACATTCTTCAAAGAGGCTTTTCTGAAATTCACTGTGTAAAGTACCCACCAGCTAATGTGCCAGGTTGTCTCTTCTTTTTAAATTTTATCTGATGTTTTCTTTGGTTGATTGATTGTTTTATATATTTATTTATTTACTTGTTTGTTTGCACTGAGTCTTAGTTGTAGCATCTGGGATCTTTGATCTTTAGTTGTGGCATGCAAACTTTTAGTTATGGCGTGTGGGATCTAGTTCCCTGACCAGAGATTGAACCTGGGCCCCATGAATTGTGAGCTCAGCATCTCATCTTCCCTGGACCACCAGGGAAGTCCCTTTTTGATTGTTGAGTGACACTCAGTTAAAAGTTAAGCTCCCAGAGAGCAAGGAATTTGTCTCAGTCATCTTTGTAGTCCTTACTGCCTAGATCAGAACCTGGCACAAAGCAGATCTTCAGTAAATGCTTATGGAAGAAATTATGAAAGGAGGAGATTTAATTAAGCACTGGAGTGCCCAGGAGGAAATCTTCCTTCATATCATTCTCTGTGCTGGAGTGGCTTCCTCTTCTGTGACCCTTGGCACCCAGTATGTGACCATACAAACCACATGTCCTGCAGACCCTAAGCCATGTGTTCAGTCTTCTCTTCCATATCTCTGGGGAACACTGGATTCACTTTTCCCACGGCATGATGCAAGAAGCCAATTTTTTTCTCTTATTCCACACCAGACTTGCCCCAACCATGAATGCAGTAATCTTTGCCCCAGGGAGTGTGAAGGTCAGGAGTAAAAATAAAACATATATCACAGAGGAGGGCTAAGGTTCTGGTATTCACAAGAGCATCTAATGGCTCTCTTATCCATTTATTTTAATGATATCAGCGTAAGACAGTCTGTTGAAAAAAAAAAAAAGCACATTATTTATCCCATACTGGTGAAGTGGCAGTATTACATTGTTTTAAAAGAAAAATCTTAAAATTTTTCTTTTTAGAAACTTATTGAGTTAGAGAAATAAGCTTTGCCAAATGCCCCATTCTGTCTTTGCTGGCCCTGCTAGCTGGCATCTCTCGTCAACTTTCCCCAAGTGTTTCCTATGGCACTGTCTAACCCAGACTGGGAAATGTGGTTAAGCATTACCAAACCAGACCACGCCCCAGCTTGCAGACCACCTGAGGACACCTAAGGGCTGTGAGGGAAAGTGAAGATACTTTCCTGGCCACTAAGATGGTATTGGAGAGTCTGTTTCAGGCTTTGCGCTGCCTGGATGCCCCTGGGAAGAACTTTAGCCTGGTAGTTTGTACCTGCTCCTGGTGTTGATTTCCTGGATGACCTTGGTCTCTGGTCTAGAAGTGCCGTTTCTCTGTTTATCAGTGTTCTAGCCACCAAGGGCCCCTGTGGGTTCCTTCCACTTTGATATCTGGGATCCTTCGTCTTTGGGAGCCGGTCCATTTATGCTGGGGGCTTCTTCTCCTAGCAAAGGCAGTGGCTGGCTGCTCAGCCTAAGGGTTCCGTCTGTTGATAGCTTTGTATCTGGCGAAGGGCAAGGTTGGTTCAGTTCCCATCCTGGCCACCTCTATGTTCCTGAGAGTTGTCCTGGGGATTTTCGCCTCTTTCCCTGGCCCTCGGGGATCTCCCTCCCTTTCCTTGCCTCTGTCCCATTTTTCCTCCTCTCTGTCATCTTTCTGAAGTTTCAGACTCAGTTTCTTTTCAATGAAATTGAAAAGGCAAAGCCATCTTGTATAAAAGGCCTTTTGGCATGTCATCAATAGCAACAAAAACAGTAATAACAGTAGCATCTTACATTTAAGGTTTTTAGTTTACACTTTACAGAGAACTTTTAAGTACATTCTCTCATTACCATTCTAGGGTCCCTTGGTTGAGTTAGAAAGGGACATTTCCTTCCACTCACCCTGAGCCCTGCCCATGGGGGAAACAGCCTGAACTGCAGCTCTGCACATATGTACATCCTCACACACAAGCACTGAACCACTGAGTGTGCAAGTTAACTGACCGTTTCTGCCCCATGGGACTTTCTAGGATTTGCTCCAATAAGAAAGTTTTAGTCTCCGTTTGTTAGAGAAACTTCATTTGGGGAGAATTTTCTTAATGGTACTGGGTTTCATAAAGTCAGGGCTTCCAAAATTGAGGGGGAAGGCTCAAAATCACCGCCCACCCCTCCAGCCACACTGAAAGAATCTTGTCCTTTTGGCTGTCTTGGCTGACTGTGACTGGATTAGGGGTTGGTCCCAGGGGGTGGCTGGCAGAGAAAGGCCTCAGAATGCTTGGGGCAGATGGAGGAAAAGCCGTGAGCTTGGCGAGTCCTCTGAGAAAGTCAGGGACCGTGGGTGGGGCTCTCAAGATGGCAGGCTGAGTGGGCTTTGAGCTGGGTGGGAGAGCTAGGTGGGAATGCTGGTGGTAGAATAAGGCCCAGGACCACCTGCGTGAGGAGGGCTGGGAGTGTGTGGGGAGCGGGAGGGGTCCTGGGGAGATCCCTCCCAGGGCGGAGCTTCTGAACCACCACAAGAGCTTTGTGCCCCATTTGGAAATGAGCGTTGTCTAGCCTAAAAAAAACAAAGTCAACAACTAGGGGGAGCCCCAGGCCACTTTGGGTGGCAAAGCCCCGTCTTCTCCCAGACCTTTCTCTACCTTGCCACCCTCTCTTTCCTAACGCAGAGCTTGTTCTACTTCCCCTGCTCAAAAACTTGCTGGAGCCCTGTGGTCAAACCCCTGCCTTTACATCTTCCCCATTTATCCCTGCTCCCCAGCATGCAGCTACACTCTTGCCAGTCCAGACCTCTGACTGCTCCCCAAACATGCCAGGTCTTTTCACACTTCCCTGCTTTTTAATAGAGAATCATGGAAATTTCAGTTCCCTTCCCTGTGTCCTGGCAAACTCCTATTCATTCTTGAAGACTCAAGATTTGGAAATTCCTTACTCTGGACAGCTACTTCCATATAATAAAGCAATTATCTATTTCCATGATTGTTTCTGCCTCAAACTGTAGAATTCTTAGAAGCAGGACCTGTCTCCTTCCCATGAAGAGAAAGTCCTGGAGTCAGGCTGGGCCTAAATCCTGGCTCTGTAATTTATTAGGCATCTGTTCTTGTGCAGGTTCTTTAACTTTTCCATGCTTCAGTTTACTGAGCTGTAAAATGGGTTAGCAGAGTCTCTACTACAGCGTTGTTTGGAGAATTAAATGACTGTATATTATATATTAGTATATGTAAATTAGAGTGGTACTTGATGTATAATGTAGTAAGCACTAAGCCAACCTAGCCATTAATATGTAAAACAGTCATCATAAGGTACAGTAAGTACCTGGAACATGATGTATATTATATATACATATTTTAAAGAAAATGCCCGCATCTCATCCTTCTCTCCTCTTCATCATCCTTTCTTTGTTCTCTTTCTCCCTCAGTCCCCCTTCCTTCCCTTTTTTCCTTTCTTCCTACTCCTCCTCCCTCCTTACTTTTTCCTTCCATCTTCCTTTCTTTTCTTTCTCCCATCTTGACTTTTTGAGCCTTTGGCTTGCAAGAACCTCAAGGCTCTTCTGGGGATGCTTAGTGCTAGATGGTCCACTGCACCCCACTCTCTCTTCCCTGATGCTTCTGTAGGGGGAGGTTTCTGGGGGAGGGAGCGATGGTTGTGGGCCCAGAGGTTGGTGTGAGCGGGTGACCCCTGGGCCGTCTAACCTGGCCTGATGGCGGTGGAGTGGGCGGACAGAGATGGGAGGGGACAGGGGCAAGTCTCCTTCAGGAGTCTGGGCTGAGTGGGCTGGCCTTGCTCACGTTCCCTGATACCTAAGTCTCTCAGTCTAGAGTCTTTCTGGATATTAAGGAAGCAAAATGAGAACAGAAAAAAAAAAACAGAAAAAAACTGACTTTCCCTTCCTGGCAGGGCTTCTTTGACAGACTTTAGCTGCCTGAACCTCTTGCATTTATGCTACTCTGGAGACGGAACCCAGAATTTAGAGTTTGGGCTACAGGCTTTGGTCTTCCACTTATCAGAGATGAGGCATAAGATGAGTTATTGGGTTAAAAGAGGCCACAGTTTCCTCATCTATCAAACAGGATTACGTTCTCAGGGGCAGGGGATATGTGGACAGAGTAGGGTGCCTTATGGTTATGCGTGGAAAAGTGTTGCAGATGGGCACGGCATCTTTGTCATAAAGATGACGATCTGGAGGATGAGGTCTCAGAGGCCTATCTGTCCCAAGGCAGGAGCCTTCCAGAACTTTCCAGAGCTGTGGGCAGGCTTGGCCCCTGACCCTCCTCATTCCCAGGAGCCCTGGCTGCCTGTTCTCCTGATTTTGCCTTCCAATACGAGGTGGACCGAGGGAGGAGAATGCCTTAGAACTTCCAGAAGAAGGTCCGGGGCTAGGGTCCGAGGAGACGGGTGAGCACTGTGCTCCCAGAGGAGCTGCAGGGGGACTGCCTTCCCCGGGGACAGGCAGGATAAGGGGCATTATTTTCAGATTTGGCCAAACAGGCTCAGACTAAGCCTATGGCAGATTCAGACAGTCCCAGAATGGAGTCAAGGGCAGCCAGGAAGGGGTGGGGGCTGTGGGCTCTGACCCTGCAGGACCCAAAGCACTCCGGGGCGGCCAGTGCTTTGGGTCCCAGGGAGAGTCAGAGCCCAGGGCTCAGCGGCTTTTCCTGGAAGAAGTGGACACCCCGGGCCTCAACCACCAGGGTGGAAAAGCTGGGTGCTTTCAGGGAAGGAAGAAAAGTCAGTAAAGATCAGAGGAAAGAAAGAAAAATCTTTTCCTTTACTTTCTTCCTCTTCTCATTCTGTTTCCTGAGCTCCGTAAGCAGGTCTTCCTTTCTGCCAACACAATAGTGTTACCTAAACATATAAGCCTCCTCCTTCTGCCTCAGTCAGGCTGTCACTTCTTTATGTTCATCCTTTTGTTTTAAAACTTTTATTCGTTCTTTTTTTCCCTTAAAACTTTTAACAGCTGTTTATAAAAACATGACAATTACACAACATGGAACAAAAAATCTGGTAAAAATTACTCACTATATGGTACATATACTCAGACGGTATGATATATTTATATAATAAAAGATGAAAATAGTCACTTTCCATAATAAAAATAAGTTCTATTTTTTGTTTATTTTACAATATACTTAATATTCTTTTCTTCTTTTGCTTCTTCTCCAGCTCCCACTCCTTCCCTTCAGGTCTCACGGGTGGATCCCCTGGTGGCCATCCCCACCCGACCCGGCCGGAGTCCAGGAGGCGGAGCGGGTGCAGGGGCCTTAGGAACACGGGCGGCAGCCGCACTCTAAGTGTCTCTCCAGCTCTTCCACGAACGAGGAGCCATCTGTGCACTGAAAGACGTACTTCCGCCGCTTGCTGCGGGTGGGCTGGCAGCACTGGGGCCCGCAGCCCCCACGACACTCCATGACAGGTATCTTGGAGGCCGTGGCACATGATGCGTAACCCTTCTGGCGGCGGATCACCTCTCGGACCACCTCTCCCAGGCAAGGCGTTTCTGCAGAGGGCAGAAAAGGTAAGGACATGGCATTGGTGGTGAAGGTGGTGGTCCAGGGTAGGCTGCTCCAAAACACTTGTGGTCTGAGGACCATATGTACTTATACATTCTCTCATCCTTCCATCTCCCTGCCCACCCATCCACCCACTTGTCCACCCATTATCCCAGAGGTCCCCAACCTTTTTGGTACTAGGGACCAGTTTCATGGAGGACAGTTTTTCTGTGGATGGGGGTAGGTGGAGAGATGGCTTTGGTTTTGCCCGCTGCTCACCTCCTGCTGTGCCTGGTTGCTAACATGCCACAAACCATCTTGTCCATGGCCCAGGGGTTAGGAACCTCTCCATTAACCCATTTATTTCATGAAAGCTTAATGCCTTTTCTGTACTAGGCTCTATTTATTTAATGTGCATGCTCAGTTGCTTCAGTCATGTCCAACTCTTTGTGACCCCATGGACTATAGCCTTCCAGGCTCCTCTGTCTATAGGATTCTCCAGGCAGGAATATGGAGTGGGTTGCCATACTCTCCTCCAGGAGATCTTTCTGACGCAGGGATCAAATGCTTCCTGCAGTGACAGGCAGATTCTTTACCACTAGTGCCCAGTGTAAAACTAAGCCCTGAGGATGTAAAAGTGACAAGACCAGGCTTGGTCCCTTCCTTCAGGGAACCTAAAGACCAAAGTAGATATGGCAAGTTGGTGGACCGAGGGCTAAACCCCATCCCACACCCCATCCCACATATATGTTGATTGCACCACAGGTGCTTAACAACCAAATTAAATGCCAACATAAAAAAAGCCCTGAGGTGGCGGTCCTAGATGGAGGAGGAATAGGATGGGGAGACCACTTTCTCCCCCACAAATTCATCGAAAGAAATTCGAATGCTGAGCAAATTCCATAAAACAACTTCTGAATGCTGACAGAGGATATCAGGCACCCAGAAAGGCAGCCCATTGTCTTTGAAAGGAGGTAGGACAAAATATAAAAAGAGAGACAAAAGAGGTAGGGACGGAGATCTGTCTGGGGAAGGGAGACTTAAAAAAGAGAGAAGTTTCCAAACACCAGGAAACACTCTCTCTGGCGGGTCTGTGGTGAGCGTTGGAATCTCAGAGGGCAAAATAACCAGGAGGAAAGATAAATAACTGATTAAAACCCACAGATTATGTGCCTAACAGCAACTCCCAGCGGAGCAGCAGCCAAGGTGCTCGCATCCCCCACTAGCAAGCGGGGACTGGACAGGGAGGCGCGGGCTGCAGTGCTTTGGGTAAGGACTGGGCCTGAATGCCCCGAGGGCAGTCTGAGGGAACCAGCTTGAGATAGCAACCCAGACTGTGGGATAGCTATCCCACAATCACCAGAAAAGCCCCAACGTAACACACCGCCATGCACGCTCACGGAACTCACTGAGCAGAGCTAGCCGGCTGCGGACCGGCCCATCTCCCGCCTGAGACAGGCAGGCGAGGGCAGCCAGAGCCGGAAGGGGGCAGTCGGCCCCAGAGAGGCATCTCTGTCAAACTGCAAGCAGACTTCTCTGCTAAGCAAGACTTCTTGGGACTCTGGATGATCGACATCCACCGGGAGGGTCGCAGCCAGAGATCAGCTCCCCAGAATAGACACACGGTACACTTGCCCGCTGTACACCCAGAAAACCCAGCGACTGGGATGGGGGAGGGGATAAGCTGCAGCCCCAACTGGGGGCGACTGCACTCCCCAAGCTCCTGGTCACCTGAGCTGCTCAGACCTGGGACAGGCACAAAACGCAGGCCCAACCAAGTCTGCGCCTCTGTGGAGGACCCGAGAACCTGAACCTGAGCNACAGCCGCTATGGAGAACAGTGTGGAGATTCCTTAAAAAACTGGAAATAGAACTGCCATATGACCTAGCAATCCCACTCCTGGGCATACACACTGAGGAAACCAGATCTGAAAGAGACACGTGCACCCCAATGTTCATCACAGCACTGTTTATCATAGCCAGGACATGGAAGCAACCCAGATGCCCATCAGCAGACGAATGGATAAGGAAGCTGTGGTACATATGTACAATGGAATATTACTCAGCCATTAAAAAGAATACATTTGAATCAGTTCTAATGAGGTGGATGAAACTGGAGCCTATTATACAGAGTGAAGTAAGCCAGAAAGAAAAAGACCAATACAATATACTAACACATATATATGGAATTTAGAAAGATGGTAACAATAACCCTGTATGTGAGACAGTAAATGAGACAGAGATGTATAGAACAGTCTTTTGGACTTTGTGGGAGAGGGCAAGGGTGGGATGATATGGGAGAATGGCATTGAAACATGTACATTATCCTATGTGGAATGAATTGCTAGTCTAGGTTGGATGCATGATACAGGGTGCTCGGGGCTGGTGCACTGGGATGACCCAGAGGGATGAGATGGGGAGGGAGGAGGGAGGAGGGTTCAGGATGGGGAGCACATGGGGAACACCCATGGTGGGTTCATGTCAATGTATAGCAAAACCAATAAAGTAAAAATTAAAAAAAACACACCCTGAATATTTCATCTAAACGTTGGGATATCTGGTTTCTTTGAGAACCAGGAGGTCTGGGAAGCGAAGCCTGCATCCCTGCATGGCAGTGATGGGCTGAAGCTGAGAGTTTTAGACAGGATAGAAGATATCTAGTTTGCCCCAGTCCTCACTATTCACAGTAGCCTGTCTCCATTGGTGTAGAGTCTAGACACGAATTATATAGTCATTTAAATACATATATTTGTAATGATAAACTGAGGTGAAGAAACAGGACAGGTTTATACAAAATACATAGTAAAGGGGCCTGACTAGCCTAGGGGCCAAATATCGTCTCTCTGGGAAGTGATGCTGGAGTTGAGGTGTCAAAGGGGAATAGGGGTCACTGAGCCAAAGGGCATGTGTGTGAGCATCTGTACAGATTGTAGAAATGAGAGGAGGGAACCCCTTGGATCTGCTTAATCCTCTGGTTCCTGACCCAGCTTCTCACCTTGACCCTGCTACTGTCCTCAGTCCACTGGGACAACATGTGGAGCAAGGCAGTGAAAAAGCGAGTAATGGACCTTGGCCACATGGGATCTTTGGTCTCTCAGCCTTGAACCGGTCTCTTGTCATCCCTGACCCTCAGTTTCCTTGTCTGGAAACTGGTGACACATTTCCTGGTCCTTCCCGCTTCTTCATGGGCTCTTATGAGCATCAGAGGGATTGTGAATGCATTTTAAAGCTTTAGGTGGTTAATGTGATGTAATGTGAATTTTGTTAAGCTTGGTGTAGTTTTTCAAAATTATGAGATTGTTAAAAGGATAGAAAAGAGACTCATGATCACAGGTGTCTTGATGTGGGTAGGGGTGGAATGCAAACTCCACACCCTGGGCCGTCCAGTTGAAGGGAACTGGAGCGCTGTTTGTGTGGTTCTGGCAACTTTTCTGGTAGATCTGAAATTATTTCAAAATAGATTATTTAACAAAGTTGGTTAAGAATGGAATTTTAACGAGGTACAAAATGTGAATTCTGGTTCTGGGATTCTGGTGACAGGGAGGGAAACAAAGACTCAGGTTCTGTGCCAGAGATAAACCTCCAAGATGAGACAGAACCATCTCAACTGTAACATAATCTCAACTTTCCTTTTGTGATTAATCACTAAAGGGGCCGCTAAGGGAGGTAAGTAATCTGATGTTTTCAAAGTGGGATCAGACAGGAGCTGTCTTCCCTTGACCCAACAACGGCAGGAGGTCAGGAGCCTGCATAGCTGCTGCTGCAGTGTTAGCGTGCATGCGCATCTCTGGGGCTCCTGTTAAAATGCAGCTTCTGCTTTGGAAGGTTGGGCAGCACCTGGGCCTCTGCATTGCCAACAAGTTCCCCGGTGAGCCAGTGTGCTGCTTAGAGGGCCACCCTGGCAGCTCAAGGGCTGGCAGCTAGAACAGGATCAAGGGAGGGGAGAGCTCGCCTGGTCCTGGCTGTTTGCTACATAGTTTCAGTTTGCGTCTCTCACGGTTGCAAAGCTACTTCTGAATCTTTGACCTACAGGAACCATGTGGGACAGAGCATGTTTAGTGCAGTTCTGAACTGCTATGTTTTGGTGCTGATTTGTTATGCAGCAACGGATAGCTCATACAGGAAGGTACAGTGTTGCTCCCATATTCAAGGCGAAGGACTCTGAGGCTCAGTGGGTGACTCAACGAAGGTCGCACAGCCTCTAAGTGGCACAGCTGGACCTGGAACTCAAGCCATGGGATGAATGTGGAGTCTGACTCTGACCCCTGCATCCTTCTGAGGGCCCCCTCCCATGCGCACAGTGGACCCACCTTGTTCACAGTGCTCCCCACTAAAGCCGGGCTGGCACAGGCAGTAGGGCTCCCCTCGATCTGAGATGTGGCACTGTCCCTGGTGACATTTGAAGGTTGAGCAGGCGCTGCTGGAGTCATTCTTCTGGTCACACAAGGCCCCTCCATAGCCTTCAGTGCACCTGCACACGTAGGAGCTTCCAGATGCCACACACTTCCCCTGGATGCAGCTGGGGGCAGAGGCGAGGGTGAGAGGGGGACCAGGCAGGCAGAGCAGCTGCAGGCTGCCTCTGTCCACCCCAGCCACTCCCAGACTCGGACCAGGGGACTTGGAGCTGTGGGCTCCTAGGCCTGCTCCATCATGTGGTCTGCCCTCTGCCAGCCCAGTGGCCCAGTATCAATCAGCTGGAGGCTCGTGAGTATCACCCAAAGACCACTGTCAGCTGTGAGTACAACAAGGCTGGCTTATTTACTGTTTTATACCCAGACATCAGAGCCCATCAATCTTAGTGGCAAGTCATTGCTCAGAGAAACCTAAGCAGTCTCCAACCAGTTTACCTGTTCTGCCATCTTAGTTATTAACATGACTACTATTACTACCACTACCACCTGCTCTATGTCAGGCATTGGAGTACATACTTTATGCCCAACATCAGTCTTATTTTCTACCATCACCTCTCCTCTGCAGACCTACACAGTAGACAGTCTTATCTACATCTCACAAAGGACAAAGTGATGCCACAGCCTGGATTCTTAATCATGCTGCAGCATTCTCCCTACTGGGATGACACTCAGAGCTAGGGTTCATTGTGGACATATTCACTGTAGAGTCAAACATGCACACACACTTCAGAGCGACCCAGGAGACTCTGCCCCTTTCCTGCTGTCCTTCACTTCCGATTCACAATATCATGTCCCAGCTTGCTCAGCCATGCCAGTTACCGGGCATGGCTCCAGTGTTGTTTTCGGTTGAATCAGATCTCTGAACACTGAGGACGCTGGGCGTCTTATGTTCAGTACAAGGTCCGACACATTGTAGGCCCTCAGTATTTGAATGCATAATGAATGCCAGAGCTATGCCATGATTCATCTGTATGTGGCTATACACCCCTGGTGCCTGCATGGGGGGGCACTGCTGAGTGGGGAGCCGAGTTGGGGTTAAAATGCACCCACCTGCCATGGCACATGTGCGCTGGTGCCCCATTCCACTTGTCTTGGAGGCATGTGGGGGCTACTGCAACTCTAGGCAGGCTCTGACAGTCATTTGACAAGTACTTTTCAGCCAGGCCCTTGCACACTGATGTCCCTTCTGAGCAAGACCTACTGTTTGTGTAAGTTCCTGACCTTCTAAGCAGCCTCCCCACAGGTCCTGCCTACAGTCTGACTGCAGTCCTTCCAGCTTCCATCTGTGCTCACGTCATGCTGGGGCGGGGATGACGGGGGGTGGGGAGGGCGCAGAATACAGACCTGTGGCCGAGGCAGGGGTCACGGGCCTCCTGGTCGCACAGTGGGCCAGTCCAGCCCGGGTGGCACTCACACACCACGCTGTCCTTCTCCACGGCTCGGCACAGGCCGTGCCTGCACACGCTGCAGGATTTGCAGCCCGGCGAGACACCCAGGGCCTGTGGGGGGAGGGCCTTGAAGTCCTGGAGCTCATTGTTGATGCGCACCTCGTGGATGCAGCCGTGGAAGCCGCCCAGTGGCCGGTCCGTGCCCTGGCGCAAGGCTGAGAGGCCGGTGGAGGTGGGGATGCCTGCGGGAGGGGCACCAGACCGCAGCCTGAAGACCCGACCCTGACCCCCCCGCTTGCCCACATCCCAGCCCTCGGAGGTGGACTCCTGGGGAGAAGTCTTGGGAATCTCAGTGTTCAACAGCTTGCTCTGCTCCTTTTTGTTTTTTTTTTTCTACATAAACCTTTGAGAACTACCAGCGCAAGGCTGTGCTTCATGCCCAGGCTCTGCCAGGCTGGTCGCTCCTTCTCTCTTTGGCCTTTAAATGCCCTTAATCTTAAACATGCTCCTCCATACAAATCAGCTGAGCCTCAAAGCATCAGAGGAGGTGGCAGAGCCGAGGCAAGCCTGCATATTGGAAGGCCTGCACCCTGTTTGCATCTCCTCCCTCCCCATTTCATCTTCACCTTCTCCCAGCCCCCTGAACAACTTGTAGTTTCTCGGAAGGAGCCCTGCCTTCTCTCCTTTTCTCTTCTCTTCCCCATGACCTGGCTAACTGTTCACCCTTTAGGAAGCATCTTGGCCATCACTTCCTCCAGGAAGCCTCCCTTGATTGGCTTTGGCAGTGGGTGTTGAGAGCTGTGAGCCCCACCAGTGGGCCTGGGTGTGGGTATGAGAGTACAAGGAACAGGTGGAAGGAGATGGGGTTTACCTCCAAGGTAGAGGGGACTGTTGATGCTCACTGCTGGCTGCTTCTGGAGCTTTCCCAGGCTTTTGGGGGCTCCTTTGTCCACCACCAGGTTCAGGGTCTGGTTTAGCATCACTAGCTCCACGCTGTGAAACTGCCCATCATTCACAGTCTCCACGCTGGGCAGGAGAGAAGGAAGGGGGAGAGACAGAAGGTTTGCTGAATGCCTTCCACAGCCTGTACCATGAATGAACTTGACTGGGATTCCTTGCGTTTTATCTGGGAGTAATTCCAAACAACATAAATCACAAAAATAAAAAGAGTACATAGAATTCTTATTACCTGTTACACCTATAGCTTCTCCAGTTATTCATTTCATCTGTCTTATCTATCTACATAGATATACCTCAGAGATAATGCAGGTTCCGTTCCAGATCACCTCAGTAAAGTGAGTCACTTTTCTAGTTTCCCAGTGCATATAAAAGTTATGTTTATTAAATACTCTATTAAGTGTCAATAGCATTTTGTCGAAAAAGCAATGTACATACACTAAAAATACTTTAATGCCAAAAAAATGCTGTCACTCGAACCTTCAGGGAGTCAATTTTTGCAGTAATAACATCAAACATTACTGATCACTATAACAAACACAAAAATGAAAAAGTTTGAATATTGTTAGAATCACCAAAATACGACACACAGGCATGAAGTGAGCAACTGCTGGAAAAATGGCACCAATAGACTCACTCAACACAGGGCTGCCACAAACTTTCAATTTGTAAACAATATAATATTTGTGAAGCACAGTAGAGCAAAGTGCAACAAAATGAGGGATGCCTTTAAGGGTATTCGATCAGTTACCAAAAACTTCCCAACGAACAGAAGTCTAGGACTAGGTGGCTTCATAAGTGAATTCTACCAAACAAACTATTTTTACTTTTTTTCTACCAAACATTTAAAGAAGACTTAATAACAATCCTTCTCAAACTCTTGCAAAAACAGAATAGGAACAAACTTCCAAGCTCTTTTTACAAGGTCCTCATCACCCTGATACTGAAAAACAGGAATACCATAAAAAATGAAAACTACAGGCCAATATCCCTGATGAAAACAGATGCAAACATTCTTAATAAAATATTAGCAAACCTAATTCAACAGTACATTAAAAGGATCAGACACCACGATCAAGTGGATTAATCAGTGTGATATACCACATTAACAAAGGATCAAAATCATATAATCATCTCAATAAATGGAGAAAAAGAATTTGACAAAATTCAACCATCTATTTATGATAAAAACCCTCAACAAAGTGGGTGTAGAGGGAACATTCCTCAACATAACAAAGGCCACATATGGCAAACCCATGACTAACATACTTAGTAGTGAAAAGTGGAAAGCTTTTCCTTTAAAATTGGAAACAAAACAAGGATGTCCACTCTCGCCACTTAGAGTCAACATAGTATTGGAAGTCCCAGCCTGAGCAACTAAGAAAGAAATAAAAAAGGTATGAAAAAATGTGAAAGTGAAAGTCACGTAGTCTGTCCAACTCTTGGCGATCCCATGGACTGTAGCCTGCTCAGCTGCTCTGTCCATGGGATTCTCCAGGCAAGAGTCCTGGAGTGCGTTGCCATTTCCTTCTCCAGGGGGTCTTCCTGACCCAGGGATCAAACCCAGGTCTCCTGCATTGCAGGAGATTCTTTACCAACTGAGCCACCAGGGAAGCCCCAAAAGGTATACATATCACAAAGTAAGAAGCAGAACTGTCACTACTTGCCGATGACATGATATATACAGAAAAATATAAAGTTTCCACTGAAAACTGTCAGAACTAACAAATTCAGTGAAGTTGCTAGACATAAAATTATAAACATCAGTCACATTACTCCACTTACATCAATGGACAGATCACCCAGACAGAAAATAGGGAAACACAGGCCTTAAATGAGACATTTAGACTAGACAGACTTAATTCATAGCTATAGAGAGTTCCGTCCATAAGCAGAACAACACACATTCTTCTCAAGTGCACATGGAACATTCTCCAGGATAGATCACATGCTGGGTCACAAAGCAAGCTTTGGCAAATTTAAGAAAACTGAAATCATATCAAGCATCTTTTCTGATCATAACACAGTGAGATTGGAAATCAACTGTAAGGAGAAATTGCAAAAAAAACCCCACAAATACATGAAGGCTAAACAATATGCTACTAAACAACCAATGGATCACTGAAGAAATCAAAGAGGAAATAAAAAATGCTTAAAGACAAATGAAAATGAAAGCATGACTATCCAAAACCTCTGAGATACAGCAAAAGCAATTTTGCTTTTATAGGGACATTTATAGCAATACAAGCCTACCTCAGGAAACAAGAAAAATCTCAAACAACCTAACCTTATACCTAAAGCAACTAGAGAAAGAAGAACAAACAAAATCCAAGCTTAATAGAAGGAAAAAAATCAAAGAGCAGAACAAAAAAAAAAAAGAAAGAGAGAAAGAAAAGAAAATACAAAAGATCAATGAAACTAAAAGCTGGTTTTTGAAAAGATAAACAAAATTGATAAACCTTGAGGAAAACTCATCAAGAAAAAGAGGGATAGGGCCTAAATCGATAAAATCAGAAATGTAAAAGAACTTAAAATCAACACTGCAGAAATACAAAACACCATAAAAGACTACTACAGGCAAATGTATACCAATAAATGGACAACCTAGAAGAAATGGACAAAGGCTTAGAAATGACAATCTTCCAAGATTGAACAAGGAAGAAATAGAAGATGTGAACATACCAGTTATAAATATTTAAATTGTATCTGTGATTAAAAGACTCCCAATAGGGACTTGCCTGGTGGTCCAGCAGTTAAAAATCTGCCTCCCAATGCAGGTGACATGGGTTTGATCCCTGATCAGGGAACTAAGATCCCACATTCTGCTAACTAAACCCATGCACCACAATTACTGAAGTCCACATGCCTAGAACCTGTGCTCTGCAACAAGAGAAGCCACTGCAATGAGAAGCTTGCACATTGCAATGAAGAGTAGCCCCCACTCTCTACAACCAGAGAAAACCCATGCAGCCAAAAACAAGTTTTTTTTTTTTTTAAAACTCCCAATATACAAAAGTCCAGGACCAGATGGCTTCATAGAAGAATTCCATCAAACATTTAGAGAAGAGCTAACACCTATCCTTCTGAAACTATTCTAAAAACTCGCAGAGGAAGGAGCACTTGCAAACTCATTTTGTGAAGCCACTATCACCCCAATACCAAAACCAGACAAAGATATCACAAAAAATAAAATTGCAGACCAGATCACTGATGAGCATAGACACAAAAAATTTTCAACAAATAGTAGCAAACCGAATCCAATAATACCTTAAAAGGATCATATACTATGATCAAGTGGGATTTATTCCAGGGATGCAAGGATTAGCAACCTAGATGTCCACTGACAGATGAATGGGTAAAGAATATGTGGTACATATATACAATGAACTATTACTCAGCCATACAGAGGAACAAAATTGGGTCATTTGCAGTGATGTGGATGGACCCAGAGTCTGTCATAAAGAGTGAATAAGTCAGAAAGAGAAAAATATCATATATTAATGCATATATATAGAATCTTGCAAAATGGTACAGATGAACCTATATGCAGGGCAGGAATAGAGATGCAGATGTAGAAAACAGACAGGTGGACGTGGGGATTAGAGGAGGGTGGGACGCGCTGGGAGAGCAGTACTGACACGTATACACTGTGCCGTGTAAAACAGTGAGCTGGGGGGCAGTTACGGCACAGCACAAGGAGCTCAGCCTGGAGCTCTGTGATGACTCAGTGGGGCGGGCGGGAGAGAGGCTCACGAGGGAGGGGGTGGTTCACTTCATTGCACAGCAGAAACTAACAACACTGTAAAGCAATTACACTCCAGAAAAAGGATCTGAACAGATATTTCTTCATAGAAGATATACAGATGGCCAACTGGCAAGTAAAAAGATGCCCAACATTACTGATTATTAGAGAAGTGCAAATCAAAACTACAGTGAGGTATCATGTCACACTGGTCAGAATGGCCATCATCAAAAAGTCTACAAATAATAAGTGCTGGAGAGGGTTTGGAGAAAAGGGAACCCTCATACACTGCCAGTGGGAATGTAAATTGATATAGCTATTATGGAGAACAGTATGGTGGTTCCATAAAAAACTAGAAGTAGGGTTACCATGTGATATTGCAATCCCACTCCTGGGCACATATCCAGAGAAAATCATACTTCAAAAAGATATTTGCACCCCAGTGTTCACCGCAGCACTATTCACAACAGCAAAGACATGAAACAACCTAAATGTCCATCAATAGATGAGCAGAGAAGAGGATGGGGTACATATACACTACAATGCAATACTACTCAGCCATAAGAAAATGAAGTAATGCCATTTGCAGCAACATTTATGGACCTAGAGATTATCACACGAAGTGAAGTAAATCAGAGAAAGCCAAATATCATATGATATCATTCATATGTAGGAGCTACAAAGTAATACAAATGAACTTATTTACAAAACAGAAATAGAGTCACAGACATGGAAAGCAAACTTATGGTTACCAAAGGCGAAAGGTGGAGGGAGGGATAAATTAGGAGTTTGAGATGAACATAAACACATTACTATATATAAATAGATTAAACAACAAGGACCTACTGGATAGCATAGGGAGTTATACGCAGTCTTTTGTAATAACCTACATGGGACAAGAATCTGAAAAAGAATATATATGTAAATACTTTGCTGTACACCAGAAACAACACTGTAAACTATATTCAACTATACTTCAATAAAAAAGCAAAAAAAAAATCAGTTTCATTTCTATACACTAACAATTTCTATCAGAGAAATTAAGAAGGGGAGGAATAAGCATTGGGACTGACATATAAACACTGCTATACATGAAATAGATAACTAATAAGGATCCACTGTACAGCGTGGGGAATTCTACACAGTACTCAGTAATGACCTATATGGGACTAGAATCCAAGAAAGAGTGGGCGTGTCTATAACCGACTCACGCTGTTGTACAGCAGAAACTAACATAACATTGTAAGTCAACTATATGCCAATAAAAATTAATCTAAAAAAGAAAGAGAAAAAAGAAAACAATCCCATTTACACTGCATCAAAAAGA